TGGAAAAAATTTTTCCAGTAAATCTCCCACGGACGATCTTGTTATCCAAGGGAAATTACAATCTGCCAATCTACCGAGCGGGTAGGAAGAGACCGACGGATCGGAGGTGGCAATTTCCAAGTGAAACTCATTACAGACTTTTAAACCCCGGGGCTTTAAATTGGATTTGAAATAACCTACGGTAGAAAACTTAATCGCTCGTCCGATCGCGATTTTCGACTTCCTCGCGTACGATTGTTCACTTGGGCCGGTTCCTTCAGAGTTTTAGAAGCATCGACGAATCGGTTGTCGCGCCGGAGAAGGTGAAGGCTGTCGATCGGCGTTTCGTAACTCGTCACGCTTGCTTCCGAGTCCGAACGGATCAATGACGTCACGTCACGTTCTAAGGCTAAGGTGTACCAACTCCAACTCCCACTACGAGTGGACAATCCGAGGCGGAGACACGATGTCCTGTCGAGGGAACAGGTGTACAGTGGCCGGCACAGGTACAACGATATTCGCCAGTCGATCGGCGAGCGAGAAAGTGAAAAGCCGGCACGATCGTTCTTAGATCCGGATCGATCGCGTTAGATAGAACTTGTCGCTCGCTCGACAATTTCACTCTCGAAACTCGATTCACTTGGCAAGTGTGTTTCGCTGCCTGAGACTTCTCGCGAGTGTCTTTTACTATAACGATACATATCAGGATCCTTTTCATCGTTGAGAAGAGGAACAACTGGTCGGGTAAGATACGTTTAAGATACGTGCGTTGAATTTTTGAACAGGACAAGTATTTTGTCTTGGAGACATCGTTCCATTTTTATTTGTCGAAAACTAGCTTGACGAGGATTGTTCCTTTATTGATCTGCGTTGTCAGAGTTCGTCAATTCCTTCGAGTGATAAAAAGATATTGAAACTGAACAGGTAGAAATTATTCCAATAACGCGAATGAAATTTGTATCATTGATATTCAACAGTTCATCCGAGTCACTGTGTGACGTCTCGAGCGAGCGAAAGTGGCAATATCGAGGACCAATTACCGATTCCCTTCATTCATCTTCCTATCGATCTGAACGATTGAAATTGACATTTCCGATAGTTCCAACTTTCTTTAAAACACCTCTTCTTCAAAAGAGAGAATCAATCTGCTCAACGTGTCTATTTTCACTTGCTTCTATTTGCTCAAGTTTCATCAAGTATACTCTCAGCTACTGGATTGTAACCTCGTTGCACGAAGAGGAAGAAAGTTTCATCCAAAGGTTTTGTGCGTCGTTGCCCTGTGTCTTATTAATACTGTGCGTCTGGCGACTCTGAATTTTCAGAGCTCGGCTCGTAGTGCCGATCCACAGAAATGGAAAGGAACGCAGCGCGATATTTTCGACAAGCCAGTTCCAGTTACGTAATCCACAGTCTAGGTCATAAGTACGTAGCTATTATGTTCGAAACTATTAATTCTACGAGATCATTAGTCACGGAGTCTTTGAGCAATGTTCTTTTTCACACCGATAATTATGCAATTTGCATATTCGATATCGATTCGACCGAGAGATATTTATTCGAATCAAGGTCACTCGGTCAGAAGAAGAACTGACGTCACAACTGACGGCTGCGTTTTTCTTTTTCTTCTTTTTTTTTTCTTTTTTTCTTTCGTTTCGCCGGCGACGTTTTTTTTTTTTTTTATCTCTGGCGAAACTTCAACGCCGCCAATCGATTATCGTTGTTTCGCACTTTTCAGCTAACGCGTGTTAATTCAGCGGCCATTAAGGCGCTCGCTGAAGACGGCTGATGCGAAATTGTGGCGACACGGTTTAAATCACCTTTAAATTTAAATTTAACGCAGATTAATGATTCAGCGTTCCTGCTGTAATTTCGCGTCGATAATTTATGGTAATTTTCGATTTGCGAATTACATTCAGATTTTGCTAAATTTACAGCTGTTAATAACTATTATTTACGACTATCGTGTCGTTTACAATGACACGTGATAATTTGTAACAACGACGTAACCTCGTAAAGAAAACTCTTAAAACAAATTTTAAATACTTGATCTCATTTTAAAGTCTCTATTTCGATAATCCTGATGAGTTTTATTTCTTTTTTTCGAAAGTGATTTCACATCGAGTATAAACGCGGATATTCTCGTATGACGAGGAAAATTGTACCGACTTCAAACGTGTGTAAAAAAATCGAAAATTCATCCTCGTAACTAGATTCATCATCATCTTAAAGATTGAAATCTCGTCTTAAAACTCGCTGTACGATTTTTTTTTTTTTGTACCATTTTACTGAATTTTAGGATTAAATGTTGGGGTTTCTTGAATTTTTGTTGCTTCAGCCTAACACTCAATAAAATGATGAAAAAGAATCGTACAACGAGTTTCAAGGAGTCGTCACGAAGGGAAGACTTCAGTCTTCAAAATGATGGTAGATTTAGTCACAAACAAAATTTTTTAATGTTCTTGCACAAGTTTGAATTTTTAAGAGAAACCATCTTAAGAGAAAGCAAATTCAGAATTTCATTTCTGTCAAACGCTTCAAAAAGCGAGGTCAAGTAGATTGGCGAAACTTCAACAAGATCTTTCTTTACAAAGTTATAGTCAGTTATAGTCAGTTCTAATTATCGACAATTCTTCATTGGTGCAATTATGCTCTTCACTATATATCATATGTCGATTCTCAGGCCACTGATTAATTGAAATCACTTCCGGATCTTTATGTTGGAAAATTTTGATGTTAAAAAGTGATTCGAGGAGTAGGAAATCGTTTTAGTCGCTTATTAAATAAATTCTAACGTATATATTTACTCTCTGTGCATTCTCGCATTTTCAAATTTCTCACAAATATGCATAAAACCTACTTGCAACTTACTATCGATTTAATGCACAAGAGCGCGGGATCTTCAATGAATTTTTTCTTTACCAAATCACTTCAGAATTTCCAATTTTCATTCTCGTGTCTTCTTCTTCTTCAAGGCTGAACGAATTTTTCCGATTATCCAGAATCGATCGTTCGTTTCGATGGTTTTTGTGCCCGACGAAAAACAAATCTTGTTCGGTGCAAAACAAATCTTGTTCCGGTGTTAATCGCAACAGTTTCGAGTATTATTGCAGCAGCTTCGATTTGCAATTTGTTCTCGAAATACGTTGTCGCGAGTAATTGGTAGTTCACGGTGCGTGGAGATAGAGCTAATTAACAGTCGTGGAAAAATAGCATTTTTGGTTTTGCTACATACTTTCATATATGCTAACTGCGAAGTTGAAAGAAATTTGAAGCCGAGGATATTGCGAATGATGTTTGCTTCGCATTAAAATATTGCTTGTACCATTAAACGTACCAATTAAATTTTTTTTTTTGAATTTTTGAATAATAGAAACGTTAATCAGCCTCTAGCAGTCATCTGACAATCGATAATATTGAAATTATCAAGTTGAGTTTGAACAGTTTGAATAGTTTGAACAGTTGCACATCCTTTTCAGAAGGATTTTTCTCTCAAGAATCAACTGACAAGGGAACGTACCGAAGTGTGATTTTAATGAGATTTGGCACAAAATGCAGTTTTCAAAAAAATATTGGACCCGTATTTTTTGGATTGGCAATCGTCGATGTCGAAAACTACTTCGGTTGTGGAACATATTTCGTCAAATATCTCGGAAATTATTGAAGATACCGTTTTTAATGTAAATTGATGAAATTAGTGTTTGGTATATAACATTTTTGCAAGAAAAAAAAAAA